TTTTTTAATGTATATAAATCACGGATGTTCATTTGAAGGACTTCAGAACACACAAAATACTCGTAATTCACTACTTACAAGAATTCCTCTTGGAACACTGGCAAACACAAAAGGAGGACAAAGTTTTCTAGTATATTTTCTATATTTACTTTCGTGGGTATAAATAAAAACAATGTAACTTATTAAAGTGAGTTTGTAGTGATCTGACTTCATTTTATTTACCTTTATGTACTGCACACTTCTTTTAAGTAAGTGGGAGAACATTCTCACAAAGAAGAATTTGTATGACATATAAACCAGAGAGTACAAAAGCCACAAATGAAGTGCTGTGAAATATGAGTGTTATTATATCCAGATGAATATGTTACGGACTTGCATTTATTATTTCTTAGATATGACTTTCCTAACTTGACTCATATAACTATCAATTAGGAAAAAGTTAAATTTCTCAGCTGCTGCAGCTTTCATACTTGAGACCCTTACAAGTTATGCAAGCTCCATGTCAATTTTCATTCAAAAAACTATTTCGACTTATTTTCTTATGTAAAAGGTAATGACTTCTCCATGAAACAGACTAATTAATGCCATATACCATACAAAGCTTTTTATAGTATCACTATACACTTAGGTCAAATTTTACTTTAATTTCTTCTTGAACATAATTAAATACCAGATAAATGCCACTTGCTCTCTAAAATAATTTCCGCAATTAAGTCAACTATTAAAAGAACTTGAAATCCTTGAAAATGTCATCTGTGATTCTCTTTATTTTCCAACTCATTTTATGAAATGAGAAATCCCTAAGAATACCATAATATCACAGATCAACGTAACACATACAAAAATTGCAGTAACAGCTCACTTGAGATTCTTATTACATTTATGTCTACAAAAAACTGAAAAAAACTTACATAAATGAGTAAGCAGCTGAAGGGTAAAATCAAACTGTTGCCTTGATTAGATTCAAGTCTAATGTATTTCAAATAAAATATTTGTAGGTGCCACAGTCAATCAAGACTGCAATGGAAAGCAAAGATGAAAGCATTCATGCACATGCATGTGTGATAATTGTGACATGTAGACAAGTTAATGGAAAATATTCTAGCCTTCCTTTAATTTTAATGTATCAACTGTTGCCTTGACTTAGACAACCTGCCACAATTAATGTAAAGTTTTATTATTTTTATTACTATAGGAGCATTCGATTAACTTAGTAAGAATTAGTCAGTCATCAGCCTTCTTGCATAAACTACTTTTCTTCACGTTACACACTTGTAAAAGTACAACTGAAATTTTTTAATACACACGTAATTAAGCACTAAGTCTCAATTATGCTATCTTCTATGAACTTTTCTTATTAACTGAATTGTTGCCATGTAGATTACTCTGTATATTCACCTTTTCAATATACCCTACTGTAAAATTCAGACTGTATTGCAGCAGGCAGCAGCTGCAAAGTAGAAGACCACAGAAGACTTAGTCTTCTTAAACAGGGAAATAATCAGAAATAGAAGAATACAAACAAAAACAAGTGAAAAATATGTCAAGGTGAGTATAAAGTTCAACATCTTAAGAACTGTATCTTCCACACTACTAGTTGGACCAAAGATATCACAAAAGCAGCCTACTCAATGAAAAACAACATAGAAGATATTAGAGTCAAACACTGAAAGCAGGAAATGTTGGAGGTATCTGTCTGTAAAACTAACATACCTACTTTCTGTAACAATAAAAACCTATGTATGAGCATGTAGCTCTCCTACAGAAATCTACCTTCATTCCCTGAATACAACAGATAAAAAACCTATCCAAAATGTGACTTTCATTGTTCAACATCTGATTCTATTTTCAATTTGATACTCACTGTTCAAAACCCAGTTCTGAAATAAAAATAATAAAGTTTCGATCACACTTATTCTGATTCAGCAAGGAATGCAGATTTGTATTCACTACACATCCTTGTTGCATGTACTGTCATACACTTATCAGCAGTAGTTGCCAACTTCCATGCAGGTGTGCACTGAAAATGCTGATTTGAAATGCTCGGGCAGCTTCATTAAACAAAGCTATTATGAAGCACAGGTAGGTTACTGCTCCCATCTGTGGAAAAATGTGTAAGCCAGTATTACTCAGGCCTGAGCTCTGCCTGTCCTACAATACTTTCACTGGTTCTTGTCCTAAGAACTGTTGAGTGATACTGCTGTACTGAGAAGAAAGTCTCATTTAGCTTATTGCCAATTCTGACTGAGACACTACTCCCCACACCAGGTGTCCTACCAGCTTCCAACATACCATGTTTCTGGAGAATTCCACAACTTCCCCATGTTTCTACGTCCCACTCCTCCTACACAGTAAGCCACCATTAGCAGCAGTAAGAGCCTTGAGAAATCTCAGGACCTCATCTGCTAACACAGTATTTTCTTATAGAAATTTACACTAAGCAACATCATAAGTTCCCATGAAAATGTGAACTTATTTTTTTAAAGGTGTAGCAAAGCACGTCTCTCAAAAACTTACCTAGTTCCTGAATTTGTACAGGTTACCCCCATATCTGAGTAAACTACAGTATGTCAAAGAAAAAACTGAGTTTTTTTAGTCTGTTCCAAACAATGGTACCCATCACTCGCACTTACTTCTTTAAAAGGAATGAACGAATGTTGCTGAAATTGCCCATTCACTTTCCTTGCCCTCAAAAAAAAGTGTTGAGCACACACTAGTTTACAGAATGCATAAACCTGAAGAGTTAGCAATAAACTGCTGCACAGCTATAAGCAGTCAATGTGAAATCCTATAGTGTGATTGAAAGCAGCTCAACCGTATCAAGTAAAAATTCCATCAACCCAAATACCATCTTCCCAGTAAACATCAAAAGTGGACATACAGAAGATTTTAAATACATCAAATCTTTGCTTCTCCTGAGTAATCAAGGTGTGGATCAAAGATTTGCTGGCTGAAGAACTGGCTGGAAGGCCAGGCCCAGAGAGTGGTGGTGAATGGAGCTAAATCCAGCTGGCGACCAGTCAGGAGTGGTGTTCCCCAGGGGTTGCTATGGGGCCTGTCCTCTTCAATATCTTTATTGATCACCTAGATGAGGGCATTCGGTGCACCCTCAGTAAGTCTGCAGATGACACCAAGTTGGCTGTTGATCTGCCTGGGGTGTAGCGAGGTCATACAGTGGGATCTGGACAGGCTGGATCACCAGACTGAGACCAGTGGGACAAAGGCCACGTGCTGGGTCCTGCACTTTGGCCACAAGAACCCCAAGGAATGCTACAGGCTTGGGGCAGAGTGGTTGCAGGTATTGGTCAGTGAGCAAGCGGTGTGCCATGGTGGCCAAGGTGGCCAATGGCATCCTGGCTTGCATCAGAAATAGTGCTGCCAGCACAAGAAAGGAAGTAATTGTCTCTCTGTGCCCAGCTTTGGTGAGGCTGCACGTTGAGTACTGTGTTCAGTTTTCAGCCCCTCACTAAGAGAAAGACATTGAGGTCCTGGATCATGTCCAGAGAAGGGCAATGAAGCTAGTGAGGGATCTGGAGCACAAGTCTTATGAGGAGAGGCTGAGGGAACTGGGATTCGCTTGGTCTACCACATGCATCTAAATACTTATCAGTGAAAATCAGAACCTTCAACATAGACACAAGAATAATTTTATACTTTGCAGGTGATAAACTAAAGATGTGGAAATCAGAAATACATGACAACTCTCTCAGCAGAAACTCTCTCAGTTTTCATGTGGGAAATTTCAGAATAATGATAGCAATTATCCAGGTTGAAATCTGCCTTTTTAATCTGTGCTTTTAAGGCTGCAAGCTCTTGTCTTTACCCTCACATCTCAGTGATACACATGATATTATTGTTCTCAATAACTAGTTTAATTATTGCTCATAAAAACTGCCATGCATATATATGTGCATAAAATAGATATGAAAAGAAAATGAACAAGTGTTTTCAGAAGACTGTCCAGATACACAATATCTAATTATCAGCTTTCAGTGGTATTCAGAGTCACAGAATCACAGAACGGGCAGGAATGAAAAGGACCTCGAAGATCATCTAGTTTCAACTTATTGCCGTGGGCAGAGTCACCAATCACTAGACCAGGTTGCCCAGAGCCTCCTCCAGCCTGGCCTCAAATGCCCCTAGAGGCATCCACAACCCCTCTGGCATTCCTCATATAGTATCATCAATAGCAGGCTATAAAACATAGGCTGCAGGTCAAGAAACACGCCTAATTATTCCTGTGTTCATATGTACTACTCAATCTAGAAATAAGAGGAGTTCTGTAGTTGTTATTTAAAATAAAACAAATAACTGTGCAAGAAACATTTTTCTATAAATTATCCTTCTTTATTCTTTAGACCCCATGCCCACAATATTCTCTGCTTCTTCTCAAGAGATGTTCCCCACACCTTCGGAGAGCACAAGTCACTACATGCTTTGGGGAATTAGTGTACATTATTATGCTGCTCGTTGGCCAGTAGGCTGCTATAAATAAGATTTACAGCTAGTGTATTTTGTGAGCCACCCCTTCTCAGAGGTACTAAGTTTCCCTTCTCTATCCTGACATTCCACTCCACTTCTGTGGAACTTCAGAAAACACAGTTCTCTTAAACATTTCTTTCTTTGAACCAAATTTAACTACAATTGACTATAAATTCAAAAGTTTCTGATGGCAAGAAACTATGGTAAGGAAAAGCAAGGGCATGGAAAGAGGCAAAGATATTTGCAATGAAAATCTAATGAACAAGAAGGACAAAATGTTGTGGTGTTATTTTCATAAACACCATCAACCTAAAAATGCCACTACAAAATAAAGTAGTAAGAAAACTTTGCGCCCTTAAAATTCCTTGGAGTATTAAAAGGCATTCCTGGCTTGCAAACATAGAAGTCACACGATATTAAGAACTAATAAAGCACAGTAGTTCAGTAGAGGACGTTTTTCAATTTGCTGGAGACTTGTCCTTCAAATGTCTCACATACAGAAACACTGAAAATATTACCTTGAGCCAGTCGTTCAAGCCGTTTCCCATGCTCTGGAGGAATTGCATACCTAAAATTCACGTGAAGAAAAGGATTGCATGTTTAAAGAAATAATTACTTTACAAAACAGTATTTTGCAGATAATTGAGTACCCTAAGGACAGAAAATAAGAAGATTAATGAGTGAAAAAATTAAATAGAAAAAATACACAGGTTGCTCCAAAAATAATGCCTCCCATTTATTTCCATGGAAATGACAACAGATACAAGGAGTATACTAACAATAAAATTTCAAAGAGCACATTCTCAGCTACAGAAGACTGTTCTTCAGCAGTTAGCTATCAACCATTAGCTCTGCATTCTCTAGTGATGAACAAGAGCATGCATGCCAGGCTCACACAATACTGCACTAGTGGAGATGACCCACTGTTGCTGCCACCACTGCTGAAACGCACCACCTCACTGTGCTCACATCCACTGGCTGGTCTCCAGAAACAATCAACAAGTGTCAGTGAATGTCAATTGGTGCCTTTTTTCCCACATGGAAGAATTCAGTGACACACCTTTGCTCCATCTGCACTTCCATGTCAGACACCATTCTGTCAGTGTGCTCTGTTGCTGCCATCTGTCACACGGCAACAAAATGCAATGGAATATTGGTGGGAAAGTTCAACTTCTACTGCAAAATTACTAACATACTCATCATGGGCTAGCATCACAAAACAGGATGCGTTACTTTTGGAACAACTTTCATATATTATTTTCTGAGGGAAAAGTACAGATAAAGGTATTTTGAGAAACAATTTTAACTTCCTGTTAGTTTAAAAATTATAATACACAGTTCAAAAACGTATTACCATTTAAAATCATGCATACTGACATTCATAACTCCAATTAAAAAAGAGCCACTTTTGTTTTCCAAGTGAAATAAAAACACACATAACAAAACGAATACAATTCCCACAGGTTTAACTTCTTTGCTTTTTAATGTATTTCACAAAAAAGTTCAATAGAAAAATATGAGTATTAAATGCCTCCTGAATTTTTTTCTTACTGTCAGTGCTGTGGAATGAGAAGCTACTTGCCTTTGTAACAAATTCCAATTCTTAAGAAACACATTTTCTAAAAATTCAGAAATTGTGCAGATCTTGGAAACATTCTGCTCCTACAATAAAATATTTTTACACGATTCCACAAGCAATTTGCAACAACTTTGCAAAGTGAGTGATACCTGAGCAAACACAGAACCTTGTTCATCACAGATTCACTGCACTTTATACAGGTCACCAGTATGTCTATGCATTAGACTCCACTTTTGACTTCAACAACTTCAGTGTGTGATTTAATCGGCTTTCGGTATTTTAACAACATTTAATTATTTGTTTTTTTAAAAAATACAGTTCAGAAAGGGGAAAAAATGCATACTTGGCATAGTTCAAACCCACATTTTCAAAGTCATCATGCAGATTTTTCTCTTGTACTATATTATGAACACAAATTTATTTCATATTTCCTGTCAATTCATTAAGAAAAAACAAACAAGCCATTCACAGCCCCTCACTCAGCACAACATTACTCTATCTCCAGCCTTCATTGGCACCTATTGCACACACAAATTTTTAACTCTTACAACTGAAATTGCTGCACAGAAGCACAACTATTCCAACACAACAGTCTGAGCTCCAAACAGAACAAGTTTAACAAAGCCCATGCCTGACAGCTCACTCCAAATGCTACTAAACAAAGAGACTTTTGACTTGACTCTGCTGAGTGCAGTTTTCTTCAGAATTCTATCTTTCCAAAATTGTTTCTCCCTACTTGTACTTTTGTACTGTGCCTGTTCTCCACCACACATCAAATGTGCATCTGCGCACACATAATAATCTAAAACATTTTTAACTTTCACACCTCAGCTATACAGCTATGTATAGCATTTTCTATTGCACTCTATGCCATTAAACACTGAACTCCAAAGTAAAACCAAAAGAGACAGTATTTTTGTCTAAGAAGACAAACTGGAGACTTTGCTTTTCTTGTCTCTAATTGGACTGTGATTACTTTGAAAACCTGTTCTGTAAGTGCATCAGGCTGTATTTCTGCGATAATACACAGCCATGCATGTATGTTAAGTACTTATTAGTAGTACAGAAAGACAAAACTTGAAAACTGAGGTCATATTAAAAATGGTACCTTTTAAGCGATTAGGAAGATAAATGGGGACAAGTGATTTAACTGTGCTCCACCTATTTATTTAGAGAATATAAATTTATCAATCAATAGTTCATTAAACCTAAGTTGGTGCTTTTCATCACTGTCCTCTTCTGGTGAATGTAGCAGCATCTAACCTTTGATCCTTCATTTCTTCCCTCTGATGCTATTGCCTTTGGTTAAGGGATCAGGAAAAGGAGGCTGCCTTTGCAGTACCATTAGAAGACCCAAATTCACTCTCCAGACACAATGGAGTAATACCTCTCCTTGGTTCCAAACACAATATATTAGAAAACTGTGCCTTTTTAAATGCACGTGCCTGTCTTGGAAGCCAGACGAAGTATGATGATGTGAATTTAACTGGATGCTTGGTCTACCATGTCAAACATTAAATAAAAAAAACACTCTAATTCCTTCTCAGATCATCAATTCAGTGCAAAAAAGGGGAAAAAAAAAAAAAGAAAAAAAAAAAAGAAAGAAAAAAATATTCTCTCTCAGGCTCCTTAGGTTACATAAGATCTTCGGCAGATTTTTGGATCGTGTAACGCAAAACACTTCATCACTTTAAATATACAGGTAAGACCCACTGTTTCGAGCTGAACTGAAACAGATTATGCTGCATCCCACTGAACAAACACAAAGAATTCAGTAATGGCATTTCAGTTTTATCCAGCAACATTGAATATTCAGGGCCAGGAAAAAATACCAAATTTCTTTTTAAATAACAGTTGGCATCGTTGTTTTTTTTTTTTTTCTAAATAAATCTCAGCATCATGGAGTAACATTCACTGCTTACCCACAAACTACTGATAATGAAGGCTCACTGTCCCATCTATATTCTTCAGAGGAGACAGTAACAAACTACAGTCTGGCCTCTGTGATCACTCAGTCCCATAGCTTAGAAAATAAGTTCGCTGACAAACATAGTTGACTATGATGTGAAAAACCAATCTTCTGCAGACTTAGCTAAAAACAGCAATGCCTGCTTAAATTTAATAACTCTGTTGGTTACTATTTTTTTTACATTCTGAGATGCAAAATGTAAATAACCTCCAAAGTACTGTTTTGTTCACATTTACTTTTTGATGAGAGTGAATTTTCTGTAGGAAAACAGTTTCTCCTTGTATGGCAAAGTATATGGCAAGGAAAAAACGAAATATGCATTTTACTCAAGCTCAGTTTTATTAGGAACATTTGGATGTTGCAGGTCTCTATAACAAGACACCAAAGAAAAATTCCATTTCCTTTAATCTTTCTTTAAGTCAGAAATGGAAACTTTAGCATAGCTCATTTCAACAAACTAACCAAAAGCATGTGGACCTCAGATGAAATTGCTTAACTCAAAGGAAAACGTAGACGAAAATTACAGTCTTTAGAAGAAAAAATAACTAATACACATCTGAGAAAACACAAAGCCAACTAATATCATCTCTCCACAGCAATATTACTTTCTAAATTTCCATTTGAGAGACTGTGGCAAAAATGTCAAGCAGCAAAAAAAAAAGTCTACTACATTAAAAGTGCTTATGGAAAATAGGACTCAAATTATTTATGTGAACAGACAACAGATCTTTTTAAATAACTTTAAGGCACACTTACATCATTTATCAATAATTTTGTGATTTTTGGATTAATTTCATGTTCTTTCCTCACTTTCGGTTACGATATAAACATCTGACTGTCCTGATAATAAGCATAAATCACAGTAAAATTAGGTTTCTGTACTTATATTAAAATGAGACAGAGGAAATGACAGAAAAAGCCTAAGCAAATTTTGATAATAAATATCATTATACTAATGTAATTTCAGGGAAAAAAAATACAGGAAACAGCATTACTACAGCATTTGAATTTTAAAGATTTTTTACTCAATCTCTTGATAGAAGTCAATCTTCCAAACTCCGGAAGGCCATTTAAAAGTTCAGTTATGGTAAAAGCACTGCACACAACTTGCATCATTTGTAATATTGCTGCTGTGTTAAGTGTGTGACATTAATATATGAATATTCATTAAATGATTCCTTCATATCAGTCTGATGCCTTGTAAAAGCATTCTAACACCTCCAAAGTACATACAACAGTCTGCAACAGCCTCAGAACAATCTCTTGTTCACAGGGGTAAATACATACTCATGTGTGTTTTTTTTTCCCTTTCCTCCACAGTAAAGTATTCAACAACAACAACAGCAACAACAATAACTAATAGAAAGTCTTAATTCTGTTCCCTAGCCTCAGGATTTTTCCTTTTACCTCATGACCAGTTAGCGGAGATTAAAGAAACCTTCTGTTTGCAAACATTAGAAATGCAAGATTTCTCATCTTCTATACAATGAAATCTTTCCTCCTCCATTTTCCTTATTTGCACCCACATCACTAGTAACATGGGACAGGGAAGAATATACTCCCACAACTTAACTATTAAGGTATAGTTTGGTGAGATACAGAGTTGACAGACTACCTGAAGAGAATAGAATTTTCACTTCTTTGTTAAATTCTTGGCTGCAGCCAAAATGCACATTTATACAGAAGGACTATCTCAACGTCTTTAAATAAGTACCCTGCTCTTTAGTGATGACTTAGGAATACAACTTAAAAAAAATATGCATCCAAATCCCAGTCCCTACAGTTCTTATATGATTAAACCACAAGATTTTAAGTCTTCCCCTCTTTTGCCTATTGTCTAGACTGAGCAGTTCTTCATTCATCACGTCTATCACAATGTATTCCTCCATGAAGCACCTATTTTCACCCATCCGAATTCTGCAGAGCCAGAACAGTGATTTCAGGGTTGTAATAAAATTAAAAAATCTGGACCAGACTATAAACTTAATCAATTGTAATTCCCAGGAATAATTTTAAAAAG